GGACCTTCATACCTAAACTCCGTGATGTCCAATAGATACACATATGGTGTAGGATTTGATATTCTCTTAGCTAGTATTAAAGAGACATTTTCATGTTCCTTTATAAACTTTCAAACTCATATATCAAACCCATATTTAAATCATAATATTATCAAAACTATCAATTAATATTTTTTGTATTTAAATTTCTTATTTTTATTTATGTTTATTAACTTTGATTTTAAGTGGAATTGAAATGTTTTTAATTTTGTTAGTGGAATTTTATTTAAATTTTTTATTATTAAGTTTGATTTTTATTAGTGTTTTTTAGTTTTACTAAGTTTTGTTAATATTTATTAGTTTTAAGTGGAAATTTAATGGATTTTTAAATTAATAAATTTTAAAATAATATTTTTATTTTTGTTGTTTTATGTTTGATTGTTTAGCCTAAACCTATTTATATTATTTGACTTAATAATATTTTATTTTATTATGTTGTATTATTACTCTCTCTCTCTCTCTCTCTCTTAAATGTCTTTTTTAAATGTAATAATAACATGCATTAAAATAATAGGCCTTGGAAAACCCAAAGGTCTCCCTTTATAGTAGTGTGCAGCTTTTTTAATCTAATCAAAATAGGCAATGATTACTTTTTTATATTTTTAAAACAAAAGAAAATCGGAAAGAATGCAAAAAATGAAGAAAATAGCTTCTCTCAAAGGAGAGACATGTTGACATGGGCCGTCCAATTTTATTATATACTAGTGGGGACCTATGCAATGCATGGAATTTATCAAGGAAAGTGAAATCACCAAAACTTATAACTAATGAAACAATGCAATGTTGTTTAAAATAATTAAATCTTTATTTTAATAATTTGTTACAAAAATGTTTTACTAATTTAGTAATTTGAATTAATTATATTAATATTTTTAATAAAGAATAACTTATTGCTAATTATTTAATAAAATAATTATTTTTTCCATATTCTTTGTTAGTGTTCTATTTTATTTATTTTACTTTATTAATAATTAAAGGTTTTAATTGTTTGTAAATACCACTTAAATATTTAAAATACCTAAATATCAGTAAATATATAAAATTAGGCTATAGTCATAGTTAAATTAATCTATAGCTAATTGTTTTAGTCGTAATTAAATTAATCTAAGCACAAACTTAAGGTTTAAGACTTTGGATTAGACTTGGATTGATCCTCATTCTGACCCAACCCACCCAAGTTGCACGAATTGTAATATTCATAATTGGATTGAACCAAACCAAGTGTAACCCATGCATGCATTATTTTTGGGCTTTTTAACTATTTTTAAATAATATTGAAGCTAAAGTAGCTATAAAGGATTAGTTACCCCCATTGTGTAGCCCAATAAACCAAAAAACTAAAAATCTTGAGCTAAATTTTGATAATGCATTAGTAGTTTTTAAGGTTGTTTGGCCTAGCGTTGCCCACACCCTAAGTGTAATAATATTTGTCTGAGCCTATATGATTGCTCGTGTTAATTATAAAACTATGATTTTGTTACAAATTAAGAAAATATTTTTTACACACACACACACACATATATATTAATACAAAATTTGTTATCTAAATATTATATAATAATATTTACCATATGTGCATAAAACTTCCACGTTGAGCTTATTACGGGTTATTTAACTTGGGCCCTATCCGCTAGGGCCATCATCGAACTTCGGAAGTTCGATGCTCAATTAGACTTTGAATCCGATTATCCTAGATTTGGATGTTAGAACATGCATCTGATTAATAATTTGATTGGATGTGGAATTAACCCCATCTAATTTGATTAAAATCCATGTCTAATAAAAAATTATTATTTTTGTATATGTAGTATAATTATTGTATACACAGATATTAATATATGCATTTATACTTTAATATTTAAAATCTAACATAATAATAATAATAATAATAATAATAATAATAATAATAATAATAATAACAACAACAACAACAATAATAATAATAATAAGATGTGGATGCAAATCTAGAGATTTCATAATCGGATGTTGATGTGAATGCAGCTAGATTTGATTTGAATCTGATCCATTTATAGCCCTACTACCCACATTATGTATGGCCTTGGTGCATCTTTGAGCTAGACCTAACTAAAAGAAAGTTGCTTGAGCATGGAAATTTATAGATCTAATCAGGTTAGGTTAAGTTATAAATAAATTTTTACTTTTTATTATTAATTTTAATTATCCTACCAATAGTATTTCTTATTAATTTCTTAATTTTATTAATTTTATTAATTTTATTAATTTTATAACCCCACTACCCGCATTATTTGCTTGAGTCCAAGGTTGGGCTAAGTTATGAATGGTCTTCCCCAAGTAGGAGTCTTATGACATAATTAAATTTTATATGAAATGCAAATGGTTTATTTTTATTATTTTTCATAATTTTTTACTTATTATTATTTATTTTAACATTTTATTATTAATTTTAATTATCTTATTAATATTAATTATATTCAAATAGAATTAAATTGTATTTTAGTTTTTTAATTTATGAACTACTAATCTTTATCAATTGCCTAACTTTTAATAGTTGCTAGATAAAACTTGCTAAATTTTAATATTTTTATTAACTTTAGTAATTTTTATTAGTTATAGTTATTAAGTTTCAAATTATATATAAATTATTGTTATTATTATTTTATATATTTATTATATAGATAAATTAGAACTGTTTTTGAAAGTGGGTCAATATAGACCATTTTAACTTGTTTTCTTTGTTTGAGTGATAAAATGGTTTCTACATTTTACATTTTCATTAAAATTTATAAGTCTCTTGTGTAGTATAGACATTATGCATAGTAAAGGTCTCAACTCATAAAAGTTATTAATTTTAATGATAATATTAATTAATTAATTAATATGCATTAATACAAATAAAAACAACATTTACAACATTAGAACATGGGTTCTATTTGCAATATATCAAACCCATGTTTAAATCATAATATTATTAAAACTATCAATTAATATTTTTTGTATTTAAATTTATTATTTTTATTAGTTTATTAAATTTTAAGTGGAATTGAAATGTTTTTAATCTTTACTAAGTTTGTTAATATTTATTAGTTTTAAGTAGAAGTTTAATGGATTTTTAAATTAATAACTTTTTAAAATAATTCTTTTATTATTGTTGCTTTATGTTTGATTGTTTAAATTTTAAACTCAATCTACTTATATTATTTGATTTATTAATATTTTACTTTATTATGTTGTATTACTATTCTCTCTCTCTCTATAATAGTATACAACTTTATTGATCTAATCAAAATAGATAATGATTACGTTTTTATATTTTAAAATAAAAGAAAATAGGAAAAATTGCACTCTTACCATTTTTGTTTTCCTTCATACTAGTAGGCAATTTTTTATGATGAAAGTAAAACAAAAAGAGGTGGTGCTTCCAAACACCTCGTGTGTTCTATGTGGTGAGGGAGTAGAGACTTCGAGTCACCTGTTTCTTCACTACAACTTCTCTTCAAGAATTTGGAGTCACTTTGTTAAGGCCATTCGCCTTTCTTTTTGCATGCCTAACTTTGTCAAGTCTTTTCTTGAGAGTTAGAAAGTTGAAGGTCTAAGAAAAAAGGGTAGGTTGTGTGGAATGTAATTCCTTTGGCAGTCCTGTGGTGCATTTGGAGGGAGAGAAATAGGAGGATATTTGATTAAAAGCAGATCCAAGTAGAAGAAGTGATTAATTTAGTTGTAGATGAGCTGAGAGCCTGAGAGGGTGGTTGTTCAAAAGAGATGTTTCTAGTGCTGGTGTACATTGGTTAATTTTTTCGAGGATTCCAAAGGTGTTTCTCTTGCACAAGCTTTGTGCAGTGAACCTTTCCTATATCTTTCATTGTGTTTTCCTTAGGCTTCGTTTGTTTGTGATACAAACGCCGAACTGGGGTATTTATGTACCTCGGTTTGCGTTTGCAAGTGTTTGTTTGATATGTAAAAAAGTGATGATTATCAGATCAAAAATGTATTTCCCGACACTTTTGTACTCTAAGAAGAGAGCATTACTGTACCTACTTTTTGGATACAATTTTGTGTTCTTTTGATAATTAACTTTTTGGCCAAAGTTAAGGCATTGGAGCATAAGATAGTTGAAGCATTTAATGATGGACCCACACTGCACCAATTTCAAATGAACAAGATGAGTGCAAAAACGGTTTAAAATGTGAATCGTGTTTGCATCCATGAACCGAAAAAGGGTAAATATGCAGTGTATATATTTTCATTTGCATTGCAACCAAATGCAGCCTTAATAAAAACTTACTTTACCTCTTAAAAAACTAGGTTAAGAGACAAATGAGATGTTGGTTTAGAAATCACAAACAATCTTGCATACTAATCATAATAAACAAGACATTAATGGTCCTACCTCTAACTCTAATATACTCTGTTGGCATAAATTCCAATAAAAAAAGGCTTTTAATGTTTGGTAAGGTAGAGATAATAGATAATATTTTTTTCTTATAATAAGTTAATAACTATTAATTCTAATAGTAAATAGTAATTATTAAAATTATTAATTTTTATTTTATTTTACCCATTGATTTTATAACTCCATATGAAAAATGATGTGACTTTTGACACAAAAAATAATTTGGGACACTATAGGGCAATTTAATTTGATATGGGGACACCCAAATTTGCTTTGCAATTTAGATAATAACACTTAGTAGGGGGAAAAACTTTGGTTTTGGGGGGCCAACAACCTTTCCTGTTGAGAGAGTTTCTGGGTTGGGTACGTTACCATGAGAGTGGGCAAAATAGTAATTGCCTTTTGATTTATTTTGAGTAAAAACAAAAGCATGCCCGTGAATTGGTGAACTACCGCAAACGTGCCCAACCTAGAAACTCTCTCAACAAGAAAGGCCAACAACCAAAGTTAACTCTCTGGTGAGGTGGACTGTGATTCTTAGTAGTGTCTTTGCTCCATCAGTAACATGCTGACCGAACGGGACCAGCGATCACACCTCCGCGAATCCACCGGCATTCTTAAACCTCCCATGTTGTTCACCCACCCCAAAGAGGTCGAGGCTATTCCATATTCCCCACCCTCTAGCATGGCTGTGAAAGCCATCATCTGCAAGGTTTTTGACCTGGACAGTCGAATCGTTCGAACCGTCACCTGGTCGACTTTTCGGGTCTGGTTCTCATAAAACCTAGGATTTGATAAAAACTGTTGACAAGTCAGCAAACCGGATGCCTCGAATGGTTGAACTGGTGAATCAGTGACCTGATAAGCGGGCGACGGTTCAACTGTCGACCTATACTTTTTAGTCCATTTTTAGGTTTAAAAAATAAAAAAAAAAATCCCCAAAAGTCCCAACTCGAGCCCCCTTATCTTTTTACAATTTTTCAAAATTTCTCACATTTTTTTTTGCATTTTTGGATATGTATTTTTCATAAATATTAGGCATTTTTTATAAGTTTTAAGATATTTCAGACATTTATTTTGCTATTTATAATTTTATATCATTTTCTAGATATTTGTACAGGTTATATATATATATATACACACATATATTGTTATATACATATATATGTATATAATAATAGTTTTTTACTATTTTAATTATGATGTCACCGGACTTAATTTTCAACCCGCCTGGTCGAACCAGTGACCCGCGACCATTGGGAAAACCAGGAGGTCGGTTTTAAAAAACATTGATAATCTGTGTGGTTCCATCTGCAGAGCTTGCAACATACACTCCCTGGGCCTTTCCAACTGACCGGGAACCCAATTCTGGCCCAGATGTTAGAATGTCATCAATGACTGTGATCGTTCCAAAGCCCAAGCCCAAGCCCAAGCCCAAGTGCCCAACCCATCAGGTCCCAATTGTTGCCACTAATGACTTGACCATTTGAAGTAAAAGCTGTAGCAGAAAGACTAGTACTCAATGGGACACCATTGACATTGACAGTTGGGATTGCACCATTAGTGTTAGGGATGGGGACGCCATTCTTAGGTGGAATGAATCCGACTGGCCTAGCAAAGTGTCACAGGTGACTCCTTCGCCGCGCCATCAAGCACCTACAGTGAGCCACCAGAGTGCCAACCGCGTGCCTTCATGGTGTCAACATGTGTGTCATGGGTGGGCTTTGCTTGTATTTTGTAAGGGGGACCGCCAATGGCGTTATTGTAATTACTTAGTATGCTTTTCCATCATTTTGATGTTTCCTATTGTCACTCCCCCAAAAGCTTAA